GTGATGTGCTGTTCACTGGCTTTCCTTTGGTCTCAGGTGCACTGTCACTAAAAGGGAGATGAGGGTCCCCTGCCTGTGAACTGGCCCTCTGGCAGTAGGTAGCCGCATATATCCTCTACTCTCTAGTCTAGACCATGATCACTGTGCTCTTCAGCCCCTGGAATGAATCCACTGTGACTCCCAATCCATAGCAAGAGGATGTGCCAAGGAAGGAGAGGAGCAGTCAGTGCTGCAATGTAAATCTTGGCTCTACTTTGGGTTTCTCTGTGTAAGTACTGAACATGTGAGTCATGGGGATGGCTTTGGGCAATCAGAGATTAATTGATTGACTAGGGACACAGATTGGCTAGGAAACTCTGCCATACTCAAATTTATATCCTAATATTAGCATTTTTCATACAATTAACTTTGCCTCCTGCATAATTTTAAATATGAGTCATCACGGTTTTTCTTTCTCTCAAGCACCCTTTTCAGTTATGATTCTTTTGGTTCTAACTAATTTTGTCCTTGTTTATCTCTGGGTTAATTATTTGCCAACTGTCTTCATTAGCATTTCAGTGAGGAGGAGGAAATACTCCACATTGTTGCAGAATGACATCATCATCGAGCAGAAGTGTCACTTTCATGAGAGTTTTTGTCCCCATAGGAAGTTGAAAAAGAGAGGTCCCTCTTTCTAGGAGTGATGAGTCTGATGTGTATATTTCAATCTTTTAAAATGTATGTTTTATTAGAAATAAATTTTGATGGGGGATATAATTCTGTAGTGGATAAAGTTGGCCAAATAGCTGTTTCCTTTTTATTATGATTAAATCAATGCTTATGTTGGTACTAGAAATAAGCAACCCACAGTACATGTAGTAGCAGATTTGGTGGGACTGGCTATAGTTATGGACTGCCTCTCTTATATCTTCCCTTAGGTAATAGCTCCGTTTAAAGGAGCTATTATTTATTTTGAAAGACAAAGACAAAGACTTTTTAAAAATTGTATCACAGTGTGAAATCCCAAACACTGAAGAGTACAGAAAAATAAAACATCATCTTCAAAGATGTTACATAGTTTTCTCAGTGGGAGAGCCCAATAGGTTCTGATTAAAAAAATAACACACCAAGAGATAAATGAAAATCATACCATGAACAGCAGCCCCTAGGGGTGAAGAATCTAGGTAGGCACCTACTCCATGTTCAGTGATCTTCAGCAACAAGTTCTTGCAATCATTTTGTGGAGAGTAACCTACAATCTTGGCTACAGGTTGGGTTGTTTGGAGGTTTCCATGGGGCTTCTTTGACTAATAATTTAATTAGATGTAACCTATTTCTGATACTAGAATGTTCATTTGGTAAAAAGAGATGTCCAGTGGGGCTTTGTCTCCCCCATTATTTGGAAATTTCATTTAGATTGCCTTTATATGTGTATATAATTTAGAAGCTTCTGTTGTACAGTATTTCCATACTACCCCTCCAATTGCCCTAAATTTTGTGATCTTCCCCCTCCCTGCTTGTCCTCTCATATTCATAACTATCTATTCTATTTTCCCCTTTAGGGAGGTCTATATCTCTCTCCCAGTTCCTTTCTCTATACCTAACCTCCATGGTTCTATTCATTATAGCTCACTTGTCATTGACTTAAAAGCTAATATCCACATGTATGTGAATACATACCACATTTTGTCTCTGGGTCTGGGTTACTTTAATTAGGATGATTTTTTTCTAGTTCCTTCCATTTACATGTGAATTTCACGGTTTCATTTTTTGTTTTTTTTTTTTTTTTTTTGTTTTTACAGTAGAGTAATATCAAATTGTGTAAATTTAGTACATTTTTAAAAATCCTTTAACCTATTGATGAACTTCTAGGTTGATTCCAGTTTTGACTGTTATGATCAGAGCAGTGATGAACATGGTTTAGTAAGTGTCTCTGGTAGGATGAAGCATCCTTCTTGTATATGCCTAAGAATGCTCTAGTTAGATCTTAAGGTAGATTAATCCCCACTTTCCTGAGGAAGAATCGCACTGATTTCCATAATAGCTGTACAAGTTTGTACTCCCACCAGCAGTGGAGGAGTGTTCCCCTTACTCCACATCATTGCCAGCATGAGCTATCATTTGTTCAGTGATCTTAGCCACTTGTGGTCATAAGATGAGATCTCAAAGTAGTTTTAATTTTCTTTTCCCTGATGACTAAGAATGTTGAACAATTTTTAAGTGTTGAATTTCCTCTTTTGAGAATTTCTTGTTTAAATCTGTACTCTCTTTTAAAAATTGGTTTATTCATCATTTTGAGTGAGGTAACCCAGACCCAGAAAGACAATTATCACACGTACTCACTCATAAGTGGTTTTAAAACATAAAACAAAGAAAATCAGCCCACAAATCACAATCTCAGAGAACCTAGACAACAATGAAGACCTAAAGAGAGACATACATAGATCTAATCTACATGGGTAGTAGAAAAAGACAAGATTTCTTGAGTAAATTGGGAGCATAGGGATCTTGGGAGAAGGTTGAAGAGGAGGGGAGAGGCAGGGAGGGGAGCAGAGAAAAATGTAGAGCTCAATAAAAAAATCAATAAAAAAAGAAAAAAAGGAAAAATAAAAAATTGGTTTATTTTCTTGATATTCAAGTTTTTAAAAGTTCTTTATATAATTTGGATATTAGATCCATCAGATGTATAGTTGGTAAAAGTCTTTTTCCACCCTGTTTGCTGCCACTTTGTCTGGATGATGAAGATTTTTTAGTTTTATGGGGCCCCATTTATTAATTGTTAATCATAGTGCACTAATGGTGTTCTATTCAGAAAGTCTTTTCTAGTACCAATGACTTCAAGGATATTCCCCACTTTCCTTCCTATCAGGTTCAGCACATTGGGTTTTTGTTGAGGTCTTTGATGCTTTTGGAGTTGAACACATGTCCTTGTGGTACGATTGAGAGTCTTTTGGGTATATACTCAAGAGTGGTATTGCTACATCTTGAGGTAGGTTGTTTCCTAATTTTCTGAGAAATCTGATATCCAAAGGGGCTGTACCAGCTTGCACTCCCCCCAGCAACACAGGAGTGTTCCCTTTACCCTACAACCTCTCCAGAATAAGTTGTCATCAGTGTTTTTGATCTTGGCCATTCTGACAGATGAAAGATGAAATTCCTTTTAAGAGAATGTAAATGAATGTATAACTTTTATAAAAATAATAATTATTTTTTATTTACCACACACAAATAGAGAAGCTGAATTCCTAATAATGCCATTGGCCAGGGACATAGACCCTCACAGGAGCTAACAATGCTGAGTAACCAAAGCTGTAAGTTTTGGTCCTGTGTTTTTTCTGCTCCATTTTATTGGTTTGACATCTCTGTTGATTGTTGTTTTTTTATTTTATTATTTGGTTTTCTTTTTTTTAAATTCATTTATTTCTTTATTAATTAATTAAAGATTTCTGTCTCTTCCCCACCGCCGCCTCCCCTTTCCCTCTCCCTCCCCCAATCAAGTCCCCCCTCCCTCGTCTGCCCAAAGAGCAATCAGGGTCTGAAAAAAGCCTGGGTTGATTGTTCTTTTTGCTTTGACTTACGGTCAGGCTGTTGTCCTGGAGAGGTTTGACTTCTAGGAAGAAATTGCCTGCTTGTTGCTGTCAACTTCCAAATCCTTTGTTCTTATGTGTCCTCACTGTTATCTCTTTCCCCCTTTTCTCTTGCTCTTCTTCTCTCTGCCTTTCCCAGTGTGTTTGGGCTCTGTGGTCTGATTTTATGGCCTTTCCTTTTCTTTTATCTACCATCAAGTGTCAAATTTTTCACTGCAATCTTTATTTTCAAAAGTTATTTAAAATTTAATTTTTATTAACTTTCCCTAGAAAGGGAAACTGTCTCTTTCTCATAAACATTCTTCATTCTGTTTGCCAGAGATAGTTGAAAGCATCTTTGGTAGAAGCTAAGGTCCAGGACATCAAGAAGAAAGGCTGTGAGCTAATCCGGTACTGGTGGCAGATGAATGTCTGTCAGCAAAGATAACAGAATATGTCCTTCATCACATCTGTTTCCCATGAGTATGTATGTACCTTGTAGAAGTTTCTCTGCTTTTTGCTTGTTTAATGCGGGCTCCTAGTTTGTAACTGGTGGAGTCTTCCTTCCTATTATTTTTAAGATTTTCTAGGGGGATATTTTCACATACAACCATAGCTACTGTCACCACCACCAGTTTTCTGGACTCTTATCAAGGGTTTTTTTTTTAATAATTTTTTTAAAAAACCTATCTTTTCTTATTTTATATGCCAAATCCAATTTCCACTCCCTCCCCTCCTTCTGTTCCTGTTCCTTCCACCCCTCCTATACCACCCCCATTCACTCCTCAGAGAGAGTTAGATTTCCCATAGGCAGTCAGCAAAGTCTTCACATTGCTTTGAGGCAGGACCAAGATCCTCCCCACTATATCTAGGCTGAGCAAGGTATCCCTCTAGATACCCAAGGTATCAAAAAAGCCAGAACAAGCAGTAGGGATAAATCCTGGTCTCACTGTTAGTGGCCCCAGAGTCTGCCCCAGCCATATAACTGTCACCCACATTCAGAGGGCCTATGCTGACTTTCTCTCTGTCAAGCCAGAGTTGATAGGCTCTCATTAGCTCAGGTAAGCTGTTTCAGCGGTATCCCCATCATGGTCTTAACCTCTTTGCTGGTACTTTCACTCCTCCCATTCTTTGACTGGACTTTGGGAGCTCAGGCAAGCCCTCTGCTGTGAATCTCTGCATCTGCTTCCATCAGTTGCTGGATGTAGGTTCTATACACCAGTTAGAATGGCTAATACAAAAACACCAATGATAGCTTATGCTGGAGAGGATGCAGAGTAAAGAGAACACTCCTCCATTGCTGGTGGGAATGCAAACTTGCTCAGACACTTTGGAAATCAGTAGGGTGGTTTCTCAGAAAATTAGGAAACATCCTCCTGCAAGATCCAGCAATACGTCTCTTGGGCATATACCCAAAGGATGCACACCCACACCACAAAGACATTTGCTCAGCTGTGTTCATAGCAACATTATTCATAATAGCCAGAACCTGGAAACAACCTAGAAGACCCTCAGCTGAAGAATCTTAGAAGGGATTGTTGCTCAAGAAGTTCCCTGAAGAGGGGATATTTTAAAAACTACTGATATCTTTGTGTAAATAGTTCCTGGAGAGCCCATGAAACAGCTGCCAAACATCCCGAATCCAGATGCAGATGCTCTCTAAGGAGAGAAAAACCTAGATGTGAGGATGCCAACATGCTGCTCATTACTCAGTCTTTCATTTATACAAAAGCCTAATTATAAAAATAAACAATTGGGTAAGTACATTATTTTATTGAAAAAAAAATCCTGGGCTGAGGGTTGTATCAGTCAGGGTTCTCTAGAGGAACGGGACCTATAGGTTGCATAAATACTAGAATAAAGCCTTTTTAAAAATGGCATATAACTGTTACAGGCTGGGTAGACCAAGTCTCAGTTTGGAGCTGAGGACCAGGAAGATTTCTACAGTCACTTGCTTTCAGTCCATAGCAGAAGGCTGGAGATGCTAGACCAGATGTCCGTGAAAGACGTCCACAGCAGCAAAGGCTGTAGATTTGCTTTTGGATTTGCTTTGGTTCTTGTCATCCTATGCATTTTTAGCCATGTGCATAATTAGTGGGCAATCTTAGTTTTATTTACTATGAATGTCCAAATTTCACTTTGATTATTAAAAACATTTTATTGGACATGCTAGTCTGGGTTGACAGCTGGTTTTTCACACTGTAAAGACAGTGGCTATGCTACCAGTTGCTGATGATGCCCAAACCACCTTAGTGTCCTGTTTGTTTGCTTGTTCTTGTTTCTTAAATGACTAGTAATTGGTAAAGGAAAACCCATTTATTTCCAGTTGGTCTAGGGACTGGGAGAGAAAAATCATAATTTCTTTTCACAATGTCTACAGAAGTCTTACAAAGGCCACGTGTGCAGATTTAGCTGTGAGATGGTTTACCTGGTCATTTTTGCTGTCTGTACTGTTTCTGTTTTTGTTTTAGTTTTAGTTTAGTTTTATTTTCATTGGTCTAAGGCTGGGGGAAATGGGGTAGGCATTTTATCTTAGAGATCTCTTGATTTTGAAGGAGAAGAGACACAGGAATTTTATGAAATGGGGTATATAAAACTCCTACTCATTCTGGGTGTGGGTGAATTCTTATCCAATATGTGTTTTGCAAATATTATCTCTCAGTCCGTAATGTTTTTATAGTTTTCAGCGAATACATTTCTCAACTTCTTGGTTAAATTTATTCTTAAGTAAATCATCAGTTTTTGATTTCTATTGTAAGTGAATTAATTGTCTTGCTTCTGTTTTTTTGGAACAATCATTATTAGTATAAAGATATACTGGTGATTAAGTTTTGGAATTATTTATTTCATTTTATGCATATGGAAGTTTTCCTGTATTTATGTTTGTGTACTATATACATGACTGGTGCCTGAGGAGCTCAGAAGAGCATGTTGGATCCCCTGGAACTGGAGTTACAGATAGTTTCTTTAATATGTAGTCAAAGATAACTGGATATCCATGTACAGAAAGATAAAATTGGACTTAATTTCTTACATTATATGCAAAATCAACTAAAGATGGCTTAAAGGCATTCTGAGTGTAAGAGCCAAATCTATGAGAAAGAGTAGAAAGAATGCTCCCTGGCCTTTTTCTGGGACATGAACATTTGGGTGGGAACTCACTATAAAGGCAAAACTGAAAATAGAAAAGCAGAATTACATAAAACTAGAAGGCCCTCTGCTGAAGACAGAGTAAGACGATGATTTTTAGAGCAACATAAGATACGTGCAAGACAAGCACGTAAGTGGTTAATATGCACACTGTTGAAGATATTTGAGCAAATCAGGGACTAAGGAGAGAAAACACAGTTCAATCACAAAAATGAAAACATGCACGCGAGTGTGTGTGTTTATGTGTGTGTGTCAAACTTCATAGGAAACTATTTGCCAAGTATGACCTCAGACCTTGGATATATCCCCATCTTTGCAAAACAGATAGATGATAGTTAGATAAATATAAAGAGAAAAATCAAAAGTGAGTGAAATATCACAGCGTTTTCTACAAGGAGACATACAAATTGTCAAAAGGTTCTCAACATATAAACCATCAGGAAAATGTAAATTAAAATATCACTTCACAACTGTCGGGGTGACTACTTTTCAAAAAGACTGAAGATTAAGTGTTGAAAAAGTCATAGAGAAAGGGAATCCATGTACTGTTTATAGGAGGTTAATTTGTACAGCCATTTTGGAAAAATTGTATAGAGTTTTCTCCAAGAATTCAGGTGGAACTACCATAAAGTTTAGTAATATCTCCACTTTTGAGTCTGTATGGAAAGGGATTTCGATTTTTATGGTGATGAAATAGCTGTCCTGCCATATTTACTACATTGCTGGCAATAGCCAAGGTATTCAGTTGACTTATGTTTCTTTTTACATTTGAGATAATGAAACGCATTGAGTGGATAGGCTCCTTATCAATGAGTTCTGTATCTGTAGCTTCAACCAGCAGCAGATTGATAACGTTCAGCAACCACTGTCTAGTCTGTGCATGTACAGCCTGTTTTCCTTGGAATTTGTCCATAAACAAGTTATTATGACAGTTATTTACATAACATTTCACTGTATTAAACATTTTAAGTAACCTAGAAATGATTTAATGTATATAGGAGAATGTGTGTGTTATATGCAGATACATAGCCATTTTATAAAAAAAATGACTGGATCATCTGAAAATTTTAGTATTCTTGGGAGTTCCTGGAAGCAATTCCTTAATGATACAGAGTGATGGCCATGTAAAGCAATCTTTGTTAACCTCATCTGGGAACAAATGACTAATCTGTGAAAAAATATATCAGGCCTTGTACCAAGTGTTACAGATATAGCTAGTGAACAAGTATTATCACAGGGGTTCCATTTTCAAAGGCAGAAAAAAAAAACGAGACAGTAGAGAAGTTTTTTAAAAAGAGAGAAGTAGGTATTGAAATGCAGTGTGTATAGAACAAAATGTTACTCAACCTTTTTCAAAAGGGAGACTCTGTCATTTGCAATGCATGGATGATCCTGAAGAATGCCATGCTAAAAGGGAAGGCAGACACAGAAAAGTATCCCTGTAGGATTACATATGGTCATCAAATGGGACTATTCATAATTAAAATTTGATAGTAGTTTTTGGTAAAAGGAGGGAGAAAGCTGAGAAGGCACACCCCGCACACACTGTTTCATGCTGTGCAATACTCTTAATTAGTAGTTCTCCACCTTCCTAGTGCTTCGACCCTTAAACAGTTTCTCATGTTGTGGTGACCCCCATCCATAAAATTACTTTGTTGCTACTTCATAACTGTAATTTTGCTACTATTCTGTATCATAATGAAAATATGTGATATGCAGGATATCTGTTATGTGACCCCCAAAGGGGTTGTGATCTACAACCCTGCTAAATCATCTTAGAATTCTGGTAGTAATAATATCATTACTGGATGGGGAACTCAACAATGAATCAGAATCATGAGCCAAAATAAACCAACTTTCTTTATAACTTACCCCATATGTTGTATTATCCGTAACAAAACCAAGCAAGATTAATGCAATGTACTCTGAAAACTTACCAAGTAGGAGTGGATGAGTTTCAATCGCTGTATTTACAATTTAGCACACTACAAATGGTTAACTAGGATGTTAACCAGCCTGATTGTGGTAATTAATTGTTCCTGTAGACCAATGTCTTAGTTACCTTCTCATGGATTTGATAAATACCCCGACAAAAGCAAAGTAAAAGCCAGGCTTACTTTGGCTGGTGACTCCAGGGGATGACATGGCAGCAGCTGACAAGAAAGGTGTGATTGTGGGATGGGAGGCTTCTTGCATTTGCACTCAGGAAGCAGCAGAAGTTGGGTGGGCCTGCAAAGTCTCAAGGTCTGCTCCAGGGTTTCAACTCCTTCAGCAAGGCTTACACCTCTTAAATGTTTTACAATCTTTCCAAACAGCTCTACTATCTGGGGAGCAGGTGTGCCAACATGTGAGCCTGTGGGGATATTTCTCACTGAAAGCAGAAAACACATATGAAAACACATCATTGTGTTTGCATTTCTAATGCCCTGCTGTATCAGGATAGGTGGGAATATAGGGCAATGGTGCAGGGTGTGAGATCTTTAGTTCAATCATTAACACATGCGCACCACATTCATTCTCTCTCTCTCAAGCCTGACCAGTGATGTGGGCCTTCATTGTGGATAGTTACTTGTCAATATTCTTCAGTAAAATTAGAATAATTACATATTTTTTTGTGATTTCATTGGGTAAACATTTACTAAAATTACATTTCTAAATTGCAACAAAAACAAAATCAGTCACCATCCTAGAAATGTCCTCTAAAGAAATAGAGATGTAGAAAAAAATTACACAAATCACAATTACAGGTACTAACAATAGAAAAATTCCAAACTATTCAGGGTTCCCTGCCCTGTGGGCAGTCCAAGGTCCTCCCCCCTTTATCCAGGTCTAGGAAGGTGAGCATCCAAACAGGCTAGGCTCCCACAAAGCCAGTACATGCAGTAGGATCAAAACCCAGTGCCATTAAAATATAGGAACTAAATTGGGCTGGGGAAATGGCTTAGTATGTAGAATGCTTTCTGGGAAAGCTTAAGAACCAGGGTTGCATTCCAGGATACATAACAATAAATATTTATTTATTTAAAGCTACAGTTTCAGTGTGAGACCCTTTCTTTAAAAATAAGGTAGAGAGTGATAGGGAAAGATGCCAGATGTTGATCTTTCCCCTGCATGTGTGAACATGGGCACACATTTCTCCCCACCCCTTATGTGCATAAGATAGATATATCACACACATGAAAAGAATAAAGAAACATGAAATGTCTTCCAGAAGTTTTGTACGTGGACATCATGTTTTAGGACTTCAACATGACAGGATATTATTCCTATTATAATTGAAAGCAAAAGCAAAAACAAAAACAAACTCAACCAATCAACCAAACAAACCAAAGAACAAGATATAACATATATAGAGCATGATCTGTTTTGTAAGATCCAGAACCAAGCTATAGCAGAAAACGGTTCACATAAGCATAATGCAGTGTGGCATTCTACAGAAAAGATTTGAGGATGACTAGCAGGTTGTGTTTTTTTTTCTTGTGCTTTGTTGTGAGTTTCGATTTGAACAAATGAAAGTTGAGGTGGGTTTCTTCTCTTAGCAATGCTAAGCATAAAAAAAGACCTTGCCCTTTTCTTTGTATCTATCTGCTTTTCTGAATGGAGCTTC